TGAAGGGAAGGAAACTTATTAAAATGCAAATTGGTGGGACGTTTAAGAAGTTTAACTTTTCTGCTCACCCCTCTTCCAGCCCACAGGAAAAACGCCCTAAGATTTCGGGGCAGAAGAACAGGTTTAGGGTCTGGAAGGGGAGGGAAGAAAATAAAGAAAACCAAATTAGATTTTCAAACTTGAGACGTTTCTGGTTCATTCCAGGAAGGAAAAAACAAAGGTCTGCCCCCTCCTGAAGAACCCCCTTTTCGTACTTGTCTGCTGTACATTTTTCCCCTAAAGAACCAACCTGCACAGAGATAAATGCATGAGGACTAGAAACACGATGTCCTGTCCCCAGTTAGATTCAAGCATGATGGAGCCGGGGAGAGTTGCGTTGGTGAAAACATCTGGAGGGTTCCTCATGCCCAGGAAGGCAGCCTGGGCAAAGTTCTCAGTGGCAATTCAAGGCAGGCATCTTTTGGGAGCAAAAAGGGTCCAGGCTGGTCTGCAGCTTCAGATGGCAAACGGGCATGGACCGAACCACGGAGGTGGAGATAGGAACAGAGATGTCGGGGCTGTCCCACTCTTCCCAGTCTAACCACCTCCGCTTCCCAGTGCCAGCTTCATTTTGGCCTCAAGTCCCTCCATAACAACTGCAGGGGGGGCAGAAGGGAGGGTCGCCGCCAGCTGTGCCAGGCACGGCAAGTTAAGAATAGCAACGATGCGACGCCAAAAACGTGCAGGGGAGAAATTAGCCAACCTGGAGAACTTAATAAATACGCCCCCGCCAGCCACCTGGTACCAGGGCTGAACGCAGGTAGGCGGGCAGGATGTGCCCCCAGCTGGAAGACCGAACGAAAGCACAGGCACGCATTGGCACACGTGGCAGGTTGCCAAGGAGCATGGAATGGGAGGAGGGGGACTATGAGCCAAGCCCCACCGTGGGGCTGCCCCACCCCGAGCCCCTGTTTTCACCTGGGCAGGCAGAAGACCCGTGGCAATGCGATCAAGAGGACTAGAAACTTAAATCTGCAAAAACAGAATTAGGAGGGGTCCATGAATGCCCAGCTGGGAAGGACGGGAATTTGCAGTTTGACCTCTGAAGGAAACAAGGCCCAGATAATTCAGGCTGGCTCAGATCTGGCTCCGTTGCCTCCCTATCCACGGCTGCCCCAATTCTGATCTTGGATAACATCTTTCTTTCCACCCACCTTGCTTCTCAATCCAAAATTCCTGCTGGTTTTTTGGGGTCCTGAAATTCCACGTGGATTAGTGCGATGCAGGAAGATGCAGGTGCCGTTTCATCAGGCACAGCCAGACCCCAGACCCTTGGCTCCCCTTTGCCAAAACCCACCTGAGTTCCAGGCAGAAAAATCCTCCTTTATTATTATTTTTTTTTTTCCAGAGTAGCTCTCATCCAGATGGATCCCAGAGAATTTGCCACTGAAAGATGGGGGAAATAACCCCATCAAGCAATGCAATTGATTTTTCTAACACACCAGTTCGACTTCAGTAAACAGGCCTGGCACACGACGATCTGGGGAGAAACGCTGGCAGTGCCACTAGCGTTCAAGCAGGAGCCAGCCGCGTCATCTCACACGCGTGCCCGGCTGCAGCATTTTCCCAGCTGGAAACACCGCCAGGAGGAAAAACGGCTCTTCTCCAGGAGCTGTTATCTGCGTTCCCTGCTGCTCCTGGGTGCAAAGGCAGTTTTTCTGCTGAGGTTTGCCAGGCACAAAAAACGGGGAGGCAGCTGGCCCGCTCTGCAGGGCGGCAAGAGGGGCTGAACCGGACGGTTTGACACCCTGGAACCAGAGGGCACGGAGGCCTTTCTTGGGAGCAGAGCGACACCTGTGGTTGGCGACTAATGGCCCAAGGGCCAAATCTGGCCTGGAGCAACTGAACCCCCCCCACATTGATTACCAGCTGCTCCCTGGCATCAGGAGCTGAAGCCTTGCAGAAACTGCCAGCTGGGGGCAGATTTGCTCTAGAGCAGACAGGCTGATCTAAACAGTGAGTCCCTTCCAGGGCATATACAAAGTGCATCTCTTTTTCTAAAATGTAGGAGCCTGTAAAGGCCATAAGGACAAGGGAGGAGAATCCTTTTTAAGGAAGCCCACTGCTGGACAAAAGGAACCCCTTTGGCACAAGGCAGAAGGAGCTTACCTCGCTGCAAGGTAATATGATGAAGCGGGGAAATGTATAGAATTTCTGGCCCTCCAAGCAGCAAATCAAACCGCTCTGGTTAGAAGCAGTTTACCTTTGACTGTTCCAGTGGGACGGGGGGGGGGGGGGGGGGCAGAAAGAGGGGTGACCCGCTGGCTGGGGAATTCTGGGAGTTGAAGTCCACCCGCCCTAAAGTGGCCAAGGTTGAAAAACACTGATTTATAGCAACCAGATTGCAACAGAGGAAGAAAGGCACTGGGGCTTGCAAGGGCAGGAAGTGGACCTGACCTCTGGGGCTGCTGCTGCTGCACCTCCACCTTGTTCCGAATTGTTTGCGCTTTTCACACCTTTCCCCAAATTCACCCTCAGCTTGAAATCCCTTTGGGAGGAAAAGTAGATTTTCCAAAAGGCGGCGGACACTGCCCTCTGGCGGCTGGCGCTGGGGTGACCCCGCTGCCCCTTGAGCTCCCCAATCGCTCGCAGACCCAGCTGTGGATCCAGGCTGGCTCGGCAGTTGTGGAGCTGTCTGTATGCTCACAACAACCTTGCAAGGTGGGCTGGGCTGACAGTAAGGGAACAAGGTCCCCACCCCCACCGCCCTGGGCTGGCATCCAGGTCTCCTTCCAAGGCAAAGAGGCATTGAAGCATTAAAAGTGGGCATGGGGGGGTTCCTGGCCCACTCCAGTGCCTTGTTCTTTGGTGGGGGGCCCATCCTAGCTGGCAGGCTGTTTTTTCCAGTGACTCCCCGTCCCCATTTCCTCCTGGAAGCAAACTCCATCTTCAAAAGCAGCAGTTGGGGATGTCTCCTTGTCTGCACCCTCCTTCCATCTTTCTCACGCCCATTTCTCTCTCCTTGCCACCTCCCTTCAAAAGAAAATCCGTGTTGCTAGACCTCATGATTCTGTTCCTGGCCCCTGGCCTCTTCTTGCCCAGACAGGGAGTCTCCAGATTTCAGCTGTGGCTGGGTTTCCGCTTTCGGTTCCTCAGAACCACTTGGATGACCTCCTCCAAAGGGAGGGAATAAATTTAATTCCCCGGCAACGTCCTTCTGTTGGTGTGTTTCTCAGATCGATGGGGATGGCAAGTAAGGAACAGCTTGTTAAAGAAGGAAATTGGTGTCGAGCTGGAAGTTGGTTAGTTGGGGGCAAATAACAGAAGTGGGCCAAGTTTCTAGACCTTAGGAAGGTGCTCATATCATATCACATCATCGACATCTCTCATTTCTATATTGTTATAAGGAAAGTGGAAGGGCGGGGCACCCTCGTTCTGCCTTTCATGCAGCCCTTGAAATGCCCCAACAGGAAGCAGGAAGCCAACCGAATTGTGAATGGTTCCAGTCCTTTCTTTCTGGACGGTTTCCCCTATCTGTGTGTGTGTGCGCGGCGGGGAGATGCTGAACATTTATTCTTAACAACTGCTGATCCAAAAGCAATCTCTCTCCCCTGAGCA